TGAAACAATACAAACATATATACACTCGGCTGTCTAGTGGGGTGGGTCTGAAACAATACAAACATAATAACTGGTGTCTGTGTGGGGGGGTCTGAAAAATACAAACAAATACACTCGGTTTTGTTGAGTGGGGGGGGTCTAAAAACAATACAAAAATATATAACTCGGCTGCTAGTGGGGGGGGGTCTGAAACAATAAAAACCATAAACATGGTTTTAAGGGGGTGGGGGGAAAAAATAAAAAAATTTAATACACTCGGTTTCTAGGGGGGGGTTGAAACAAACAAACAATATACACTGGGTGTCGGGGGGGTCTGAAAAAATAAAAAAATACATGGCTGTTGTGTGGTCTGAAACAAAAAAACATATATAACCGGTGTCTAGTGGGGTGGGTCTGAAACAATACAAACATATATACACTCGGCTGTCTGTGTGGGGTGGGTCTGAAACAATACAAACATATATACACTCAACAAAAATTAAAGGGGGTGGATCGTTTTAATATTGCAGATGGATTGGAACTTCCATCATGTAATTTTCTGCATCACTTCCAAATGTGTGGTGTGTTGTATTTATATATTATTTTAAAATATAATATATATTATATATATTATATTTTAAATATATTATATATTTTTAACACCCACACTACGTTAAAAAGTTGGGGCCCTTAGAAAGTCCTTTTTTTCCGTCAAAACATTTTAAAGAGTTTAAATGGAAATATAGTAAAAGAATGGGAAAAGTCTATTGACAGGTTAGAAAAATAATTTTTTTATGAAATAATAATTGGCCCTTTCAAATTTTGTTTTCGTCAAAGAAGCCCCCCATTTGCAGAATTACAGCCTTGAACCTTGGCTTTAGTTGTCAATTTGGGGGGGAATTGAAGAGTTTTTCACCCCATCTTCCTGAAGCCCCTCCCCAAAGTTGGTTTGGTTGATGGGCTTTTACACCATCCAGTAAAGCGTCCCAAAAACGCTCAATAGGGGAGATCCGGTTTGACGTGCTGGCCATCCATTATAGACAGAATCCCACTGATGTTTCTTCCCTAAAAGTTTTGCTAGGGGGGGGCTGTGTTGGGTTTTGTCATGTTGTGGAGGAAATTGGCCCAATCAAAAGCCGTCCAAGGGTTGTGAGGCCTGCAGAGCACCCCTTTCCCCCTCGCCCTGGTTCCGTTTTAATGTTATATTCACCACATCCCAGCTTTAAAGCCCCTCCATCTTTGGGTTCCCTCTCTTACCGCTCCCCCCGCTCCCCTTGTCTCTTTACCGCTCCCCCCGCTCCCTTGTTCTTACCGCTCCCTTGTTCTTACCCCCCCTTTGTCTCTTACCCCCCGCCCGCTCCCCTTGTTTCTACCCCTCCCTAGTCTCTCTACCCCTCCTTTAGTCTTTACCGCTCCGCCCGCTCCCCCTTTGTTCTCTACCCTCCCTTAGTCTCTCTACCACTCCGCCCGCTCCCCTTTGTCTCTCACGCTCCGCCCCCTCCCTTTGTCCCTTTCCGTCCCTTAGTTCTTACCCTCCGCCCCCCCCTTTGTTCTCTACCCCTCCGCCCGCTCCCTTTGTCTTTACGTCCCCTTGTCTTCTACCACTCCCCCCCCTGTCTTTTCTACCCCCCGCCCGCTCCCCTTTGTCTCTCTACCGCTCCCCCCGCTCCCCAGTTTTCTACCCTCCTTAGTTCTCACCCCCCGCCCCCTCCCAGTCTTACCGCTCCCCCGTTCCCTGTTTCCCCTACCACTCCGCCCGTCCCTTGTCTTCTACCACTCCGCCCCCTCCCTTTGTTCCCCACGCTCGCCCGTTTTCCCCTTTGTTTTCACCCCTCCCCTTTGTTTCTATGCTCCCTAGCTCTCTACCGCCCTTTGTCTCTCTACCGCCCCTTAGTCTCTCTACCGCCCTTGTCTCTTACCCCTCCGCCCGCCCCCCTTTGTTCTTACCCTCCCCCCGCTCCTTAGTTCCTACCGCTCCCCCCCGTCCCTTTGTCTCTTACCGCTCCGCCGCTCCCTAGTCCTCACCGCTCCCCCCGCTCCTTTGTCTCTCTACCCCTCCGCCCGCTCCCTTTGCTCTTACCGCTCCCTTATTCTTACCCCTCCCCCACTCCCTTGTCCTCTACCGCCCGCCCGTCCGCCTTACCCCCTCCCCCCGCTCCTTGTTCTCTACCGTCCGCCCCCTTCCCCCAGTCTCTTACCGCTCCGCCCGCCCCCCTAGTCTCTCACCGCTCCGCCCCCCCCCTTTGTTTCTACCGCTCCGCCGCCCCCTTGTCTCTCTACCGTCCCCCGCTCCCTTAGTCTCTTCCGTCGCCCGTTCCCTGTCTTCTACCGTCCGCCCGCTCCCTTGTCTTCACCGTCCGCCCGTTCCTTTGTCTCTCTACCGCTGCGTTCCCTTTGTCTCTACCCCCCCGCCCGTCCCCTTTGTCTCTCTACCGTCCGCCCGCTCCTAGTCCTCTACGCTCCCCTTTGTCTCTTACCGTTTTAGTTTCTACCCCCCCCCCTCCGCCCGCTCCCCTTTGTTCCCTTTCCGCTCCCCTTTGTTCTTACCACTCCCCCGCTCCCTTAGCTCTCTACCGCTCGCCCCCCTCCCTTGTTCTTTTACCGCTCCCTAGCTCTCTACCGCTCCCCCACAAAACCTTAGTTTTACCGCTCGCCCGCTCCCTTAGTCTCTCTACCTCCTTTGTTCTCTACCCCTCCGCCCATCCCTTTGTCTCTCTACGCTCCCCTTAGTCCTCACCGCCCGCCCACTCCCCTTTGTCTTACCCCTCCCCGTTCCGCTCTCTACCATCCCCCCGCTCCTTTGCTTTACCACCCGCCCGCTCCCTTAGTTCTTTACCGCTCCGCCCCTTCCCCTTTGTCCTTACCCCTCCCCTTAGTTCTTATGCTCCCTTTGTCTCTCTACCCCTCCCTTTGTCTCTCTACCCCCTTTTCCCCCCCTAGTCTCTCTATCCTCCCTTAGCTCTTACGCTCCCTAGTCTCTCTACCCCTCCCCCCGCTCCCCTTTGTTCCTACCCTCCCCTTTGTTTTTACCGTCCCTTGTCTCTTACCCCTCCCCCCGCCCCTTTTGTTCTTACCCCTCCGCCCCCTCCCTTTTGTTCCTTTTACCGCTCCGCCCCCCCCTTTGTCTTCTACGCTCCGCCGCTCCCTTAGTCTCTTACCGCTCCGCCCGTCCCTTGTCTCTCTTACCGCTCCCCTTTGTCTCTCTAGCTCCGCCCACCCCTTAGTTCTTCCGCTCCGCCCGTTCCCCGTTCTACCCCCGCCCCCTCCTTGTCTCCTTTCCCCTCGCCCCTTCCCTTTGCTCTTACCCCTCCGCCCCCCCCCCTTAGTCTCTCTACCCCTCCCCCCCCCCCTTAGTTTCTACCCCTCCGCCGCCCCCTTAGTCTCTTACCGCCCGCCCCCTCCTTAGTCTCTTACCGCTCCGCCCGTTCCCTGTCCTTACCGCTCCCCCCGTCCCTTGTCCTTACCCCTGCCGTTCCCTTAGTCTCTCTACCCTGTCCGTTCCTTAGTTCCTACCCCTCCGCCGCTCCCTTTTTCTCTCTACCCCCTCCCCCGCTCCCCTTTGCTCTCAGTCCGCCCGCTCCCCTTTCTCTCTACCGCTCGCCCCCTCCCCTTTGTCTCTCTACCGCTCCGCCCGCTCCCTTTGTCTCTCTACCGTCCCGCCCCCTCCCTTTGTCTCTTCCGCTCCGCCCCCTCCTTAGCTCTTACGCCCCTTTGCTCTCTACCCCCCCTTGTCTCTCTACCCCCCTTAGTCTCTTACCGCTCCGCCCGCCCCTTGTTTCTACGCTCCCTTAGTCTATCACTAGTCTTTCCTCCTCCCCCTCCCTTGTTCCCCTAGCCCCCAGTTTCCACCGCTCCCCTTTGCTCTCTACCGCTCCGCCCAAAATCCCTTGTCTCTCACCGCTCCGCCCCTTCCCGTCTCTCTACCCCCCGCCCCCCCCCTTTGTTCTCTACCGCTCCCCCCGTTCCTTAGTCTCTCTACCCCTCCGCCCCCCCCCTTTGTCTCTTAAAGCTCCGCCCGCCCCCCTTTGTCTCTTACCGCTCCCCCCGTCCCTTGTTCGTAGCCCGCCCCCCCTTAGTCTCTTACGCTCCGCCCCTTTCCCTTTCTCTACCCCTCCCCCCGGCCCTTTGTTCCCACCGTCCGCCGTTCCCCTTAGTCTCTCACGCTCCGCCCCCCCCCCCCCTTGTCCTTACCCTCCCCCGCCCTTAGTTCTCTACCCCTCCCTTAGTCTCTACCGCTCCACCCGTTCCCCAAATCTCTCTTCGCTCCTTGTCTCTTACCCCTCCCTTTTGTCTCTCTACCTCCCTTGTCCTCTTTCCGCCCGCCCCCCTCCCTTTGCTCCTACCGCTCCCCCCGTTTTCCCGTTCTCACCATCCGCCCCTCCCTTTGTCCTCCCGCTCCGCCCTCCCTTTGTCTTTACCGCTCCGCCGTTCCTTTGTCCTCTACCCCGCCCGCCCCCCCAGTCTCTCTAGCTCCGCCCCTCCCTTTGTTCTACCGTCCCTTTTGTTCTCACCGCTCCGCCCGTCCCCTTTGTTCTCTACCGCTCCCTTTGTTCCTACCCCCGCCGTCCTTAGTCTCTCTACCCCTCCCCCCGTTTCCCTCGTCCTCTACCACTCCTCCGCTCCCTTAGTCTTACCGCTCCACCCTTCCCTAGTTTCTACCGTCCCCCCGCCCCCTTAGTCTTCTACCGCTCTGGCTCCCTTTGTCTCCTTACCGCCCGCCCGCTCCTTTGTCTCTACCGCTCCCCCACCCTTAGGCTCTTAACCTCCGGCCCGCTCCCCTTTGTTCTCTACCCCTCCCTTTGTTCCTTTCCTCCTTTAGTCCTTACGCTCCGCCCGCTCCTGTCTCTTACCCCTTGCCCCCCCCTTAGTCTTTTACGCTCCCCCCGTCCCCTTTGTTTCTACCCCTCCACCCCCTCCCCTTTGTCTCTCTACCGCTCCCCCGTCCCCTTAGTCTCTTACCGCTCCGCCCCCTCCCTTGTCTCTTACCCTCCCCCGCTCTTAGTCTCTCTACCCCTCCCTTAGTTCTCTTTCCGCTCCCCCCACTCCCTTAGTCTCTCTACCGCTCCTAGCTCTCTACCCCTCCGCCCGTTTCCCCCAGTTCTACCATCCTCCCCCCTTGTCTCTCTAAGCTCCCCCCGTTCCCCTTTGCTCTTACGCTCCGCCCGCCCCTTAGTTCCCTTTCGCTCCCTCGCTCCTTAGTCTCTCTACCGCCCCCCCGCCCTTATCCCCTACCGTCGCCCCCTCCCTAGTCTCTTACCCCTCCTTAGTTCCCCCCCGCCCGTTCCCCGTTTTTACCCCCCTCCCGCTCCCTTTGTTCTCTACCCCTCCCCCCCTTTCCTTTGTTCTTACCGCTCCCCCCGCCCCCCTTTGTCCTTACCGCTCCGTCCGCCCTTAGTCTCTCTACCCCTCGCCCGCTCCTTTGTCTCCTTTGGCTCGGCCGCCCCTTAGTCTCTCTAAGCTGCCCCCCTCCCTAGTTCTCTACGCTCCCTTTTGTTTCTACCCTCCTTTAGTCCTTACCCCTCCCCCGCCCCTTAGTTTTCTAGCCTTTCCCGTCCTTAGTCTCTCTACCGTCGCCCCCTCCTTTTCTCTCGCTCCCCCCGCTCCCTTAGTTATCACCGCTCCGCCCGCTCCCTTGTCTCTTACCGCTCCGCCGCTCCCTTAGTTTTCTACCCCTCGCCGCTCCCTTAGTTCTTACCGCTTGCCCGCTCCCTTAGTCTCTCTACCCCTCCCTTAGTTCCACCCTCCTTTGTCTCTCAACCCCTCGCCCACTCCCTTAGTCTTACCGCTCCGCCGTCCCCTTGTCCTCTAACCCCTCCCTTAGTCCTTACCCCCCTTAGTTCTCTACCCCCCTCCCCCTCCTTTGTTTTGAAAGGGCTAAAATTTTATTTATTTAGTTCAGAATCAAAAGTAATAAATCAACCAATCCCTCATTTTTCAAAAACACAATGTTCAGTTTAAATTGTTTAACCCGGCTCTCCCGGGCTTTACCTGAGACTGTTTTTGGACATGACGGTCCTCCTTTAAACTTTCAAACATACACAAACCCCACCCCCCTCATCTGAATCAATCAAGAAGACGCCCCAAAGGGAGACAATGGGGGGTTTGCCTGAACTCTGTTCAACCCGGCTCGCTCCAGGGGGTTGCCAAAGGAGAGCCACAGGGTTCAACCTGGCCGTCCCGGATTGCCTAGGGGAGCCAAGGGTTCAAAATGGTTCGCTCCAGGGGTCTGCCCAAGGAGAGCCAAAGGGTTCAATCCTGGCTCGCTCCAGGGATCTGCCCAAGGAGAGCCACAGGGTTCAACCCTGGTTCGCTCCAGGGATCTGCCCAAGGAGAGCCACAGGGTTCAACCCTGGTTCGCTCCAGGGATCTGCCCAAGAAGAGCCACAGGGTTCAACCCTGGTTCGCTCCAGGGATCTGCCCCAAGGAGAGCCACAGGGTTCAACCCTGGTTCGCTCCAGGGATCTGCCCAAGGAGAGCCACAGGGTTCAAACCCTGGCTTGCTCCAGGGATCTGCCCAAGGAGAGCCACAGGGTTTCAACCCTGGTTCGCTCCAGGGATCTGCCCAAGGAGAGCCACAGGGTCATAGTCTGGCTCGCTCCAGGGATCTGCCCAAGGAGAGCCACCCTGGTTCGCTCCAGGGATCTGCCCAAGGAGAGCCACAGGGTCATGTCTGGTTCGCTCCAGGGATATGCCCAAGGAGAGCCACAGGGTCATAGTCTGGTTCGCTCCAGGGATATGCCCAAGGAGAGCCACAGGGTCATAGTCTGGTTCGCTCCAGGGATATGCCCAAGGAGAGCCACAGGGTCATAGTCTGGTTCGCTCCAGGGATATGCCCAAGGAGAGCCACAGGGTCATAGTCTGGTTCACTCCAGGGATCTGCCCAAGGAGAGCCACAGGGTCATAGTCTGGTTCGCTCCAGGGATATGCCCAAGGAGAGCCACAGGGTCATAGTCTGGTTCCAGTCACAGATAACATAAGACTACTGTAGAATTTGACCCAATGACAGGGCAGATGCCCATTTTACACACACACAAACCTAGTGAGAGGAATTCACTAAGTCCTTGCCTAGCAACAGCAATGTACCAATGTTTAATAATATAATAATAATATGCCATTTAGCAGACTCCTTGTTTGTCATGTGTGTAATTAACTTTGGTTATACTAAAAAAAATATTCATCAGCCTCTGTACGCCTATGTAGATATTCCATTAAAAATCAGCCGTTTCCAGCTACAATAGCCATTTACAACATTAACAATGTCTACACTGTATTTCTGATCAATTTGATGTTATTTTAATGGACAAAAAAAAGAGGCTTTTCTTTCGAAAACAAGGACATTTCTAAGTGACCCCAAACTTTTGAATGGTAGTATGTATGTATGTACAGTGAGGGAAAAAAGTATTTGATCCCCTGCTGATTTTGTACGTTTGCCCACTGACAAAGACATGATCAGTCTATAATTTTAATGGTAGGTTTATTTGAACAGTGAGAGACAGAATAACAACAAAAAAATCCTGAAATACGCATGTCAAAAATGTTATAAATTGATTTGCATTTTAATGAGGGAAATAAGTATTTGACCCCCTCTCAATCAGAAAGATTTCTGGCTCCCAGGTGTCTTTTATACAGGGAACGAGCTGAGATTAGGAGCACACTTTTAAAGGGAGTGCTCCTAATCTCATTTTGTTACCTGTATAAAAGACACCTGTCCACAGAAGAAATCAATCAATCAGATTCCAAACTCTCCGCCATGGCCAAGACCAAAGAGCTCTCCAAGGATGTCAGGGACAAGATTGTAGACCTACACAAGGCTGGAATGGGCTACAAGGCCATCACCAAGCAGCTTGGTGAGAAGGTGACAGCAGTTGGTGCGATTATTCGCCAATTGAAGAAACACAAAATAACTGTCAATCTCCCTCGGCCTGGGGCTCCATGCAAGATCTCACCTCGTGGAGTTGCAATGATCATGAGAATGGTGAGGAATCAGCCCAGAACTACACGGGAGGATCTTGTCAATGATCTCAAGGCAGCTGGGACCATAGTCACCAAGAAAACAATTGGTAACACACTACGCCGTGAAGGACTGAAATCCTGCAGCGCCCGCAAGGTCCCCTGCTCAAGAAAGCACATATACAGGGCCGTCTGAAGTTTGCCAATGAACATCTGAATGATTCAGAGGAGAACTGGGTGAAAGTGTTGTGGTCAGATGCGACCAAAATCGAGCTCTTTGATGAATACAACTCAACTCGCCGTGTTTGGAGGAGGAGGAATGATGCCTATGACCCCAAGAACACCATCACCACGTCAAACATGGAGGTGGAAACATTATGCTTTGGGGGTGTTTTTCTGCTAAGGGGACAGGACAACTTCACCGCATCAAAGGGACGATGGACGGGGCCATGTACCATCAAATCTTGGGTGAGAACCTCCTTCCCTCAGCCATAGCATTGAAAATGGGTTGTGGATGGGTATTCCAGCATGACAATGACCCAAAACACACAGCCAAGGCAACAAAGGAGTGGCTCAAGAAGAAGCACATTAAGGTCCTGGAGTGGCCTAGCCAGTCTCCAGACCTTAATCCCATAGAAAATCTGTGGAGGGAGCTGAAGGTTCGAGTTGCCAAACGTCAGCCTCGAAACCTTAATGACTTGGAAAAGATCTGCAAAGAGGAGTGGAACAAAATCCCAGTAAATCCCAATATTGCTCAAATGAACAGCAAACCTGGCTTCAAAAAACAAATAAAGCAACACCTCACGGCACAATGCCTCTCCCATATTTGACCTAGATAGTTTGTATGTATTGATATGAAGGCAAAAATATATATACAAATAATAATATATATAAATAAATAAAAATGCATTTGTTGGTTAAGGGCTGTAAGTAAGCATTTCACGGTAATGTCTACACCTGTTGTATTCGGCGCATGTGGCAAATAACATTCGATTTGATTTCCGTGTGCCTTTATTTAAATTGATGTAGTTCTGTCCTTGAGCTGTTCTTGTCTATTAATGTTCTGTATTATGTCATGTTTTGTGTGGACCCCAGGAAGAGTAGCTGCTGCTTTGCAACAGCCAATGGGGATCCTAATAAAATATAAAAAATACCACCCGACCTAGAATACCTCACAATCAAATGCCGACCGCATTACCTCCCTAGAGAATTTTCTTCGGTTATCGTCACAGCCGTGTATATTCCCCCTAAAACCAACACCACGACAGCTTTCAAGGAACTACACTGGACCTTGTGCAAACTGGAAACTGCATATCCTGAGGCTGCATTTATTAAAGCTGGGTACTTTAATAAAGCAAATCTGAAAAAACCCTACCGAAGTTCTATCAACACATCGCATGTAGTTTTGATCACACGGACTGGGACATGTTCCAGGTTAGCTCTGAGAATAACATTGACGTATACACTGACACGGTGACTGAGTTCATCAGGAAGTTTATAGGGGATGTTGTTCCAACTGTGATGATTAAAACCTAACCAAAAAACGTGGATAGACGGCAGCATTCGCGCAAAAAACAAAGCGCGAACCACCGCATTTAACCACTGCAAAGGTGACTGGGAATATGGCAGAATACAAACAGTGTAGTTATGCCCTCCGTAAGGCAATTAAACAGGCAAAACGCCAGTACAAAGACAGAGTGACACAATTCAATGGCTCAGACACGAAACGTATGTGGCAGGGACTCCAGACAGTCACGGATTTATAAAGGGAAAACCAGCCACGTCACAGACTCCTACGTCTTGCTCCCAGACAAGCTAAACACCTTCTTCACCCACTTTGAGGATAACACAGTGCTGCCGACACGGGCCGCTCCAGAGTTCTCGTTCTCCGTGGCTGATGTGAGTAAGACGTTTAAGTGTGTTAACCCTCGCAAGGCTGCCGGCCCAGATGGCATCCCTAGCCGCGTCCTCAGAGCATGCGCAGACCAGCTGGCTGGAGTGTTTACGGACATATTCAATCTCTCCCTATCCCAGTCTGCTGTCTCAACATGCTTCAAGATGGCCACCATTGTTTCTGTACCCAAGAAAGCGAAGGTAACTGAAGTAAATTACTATTGCCCCTGAAGCACTCACTTCTGTCATCATGAAGTGCTTTGAGAAGCTAGTTAAGGATCATATCACCTCCACCTTACCTGTCACCCTAGACCCACTGCAATTTGCTTACCGCCCCAATAGATCCAGGGATGATGCCATCGCCATCACACTGCCCACTGCCCTATCCCATCTGGACAAGAGGACTACCTATGTAAGAAGGCTGTTGATTGACTACAGCTCAGCCTTCTACACCATAGTACCCTCATTAAGCTCGGGGCCCTGGGTCTGAACCCCGCCCTGTGCAACTGAGTCCTGGACTTCCTGACGGGCCGCCCCCAGGTGGTGAAGGTAGGCAACAACACCTCCACTACGCTGATCCTCAACACAGGGGCCCCACAAGGGTGCGTCCTCAGCCCCCTCCTGTACTCCCTGTTCACCCATGACTGCAATCACAAGTTTGCAGACGACACAACAGTAGTAGGCCTGATTACAAACAATGACGAGACCACCAACAGGGAGGAGGTGAGGGCCCTGGCAGAGTGGTGCCAGGAAAATAACCTCTCCCTCAACAAAACGAAGGAGCCGATCGTGGACTTCAGGAGACAGCAGAGGGAGCGCGCCCCCATCCAGCTCGACTGTGAAAAGCTTCGAGTTCCTCGGCATACACATCACTGACAATCAGAAGTGGTCCACCCACACAGACAGTGTAGTGAAGAAGGCGCAACAGAGCCTCTTCAACCTCAGGAGGCTAAAGATATTTGGCTAGGCCCTAAGACCCTCACAAACTTTTACAGATGCACCATTGAGAGTGTCCCCTGTAGCTCAGTTGGTAGAGCATGGCGCTTGCAACGCCAGGGTTGTGGGTTCGTTTCCCACGGGGGGCCAGTATGAAAATGTATGCACTCACTAACTGTAAGTCGCTCTGGATAAGAGCGTCTGCTAAATGACTGGAAACACATTTCATGGAGCTCCCGACGAACAGTTATTGTGCTGACGTTGCTTCCAGAGGCAGTTTGGAACTCGGTAGAGTGTTGCAACCGAGGACAGACGATTTTTACGCGCTTCAGCACTCGGCGGTCCCGTTCTGTGAGCTTGTGTGGCCTACCACTTCGCGGCTGAGCCGTTGTTGCTCCTAGAAGTTCCCACTTCACAATAACAGCACTTACAGTTGACCGGGGCAGCTCTAGCAGGGCAGATATTCAACGAACTGACTTGTTGGAAAGGTGGCATCCTATGACGGTGCCACGTTGGAAGTCACTGAACTCTTTAGTAAGGCCATTCTACTGCCAATGTTTGTCTATGGAGATTGCATGGCTGTGTGCTCGATTTTATACACCTGTCAGCAACTGGTGTGGCTGAAATAGCCGTATCCACTAATTTGAAGGGGTGTCCACATACTGCTGTATATATAGTGTATCTCTGGTAGGGTTATCACAATAGCAGTTTGAAAACATAAAGCAGGCTTAACTCGCTGAGGAACATGTTTAACTGGTCCTAGATCAGCACTCCTAGAAGTGTCTCTGGTGTAACTCACATGTATCCACCCCAGGGTGATGAGGTCATACTGGTCCTGGATCAGAAACAGCTCCTCCTCGTTCTCCGTGTCGCAGTAGTCTGGTCCGCCGTTCTGCTTCGGCACGATCACATGGGTCACCGTGAACGCATTCCTCAGCTGGAACACACACAGGGTCAGACACACAGAGACAGACACACAGAGACAGACACACACAGAGACAGACACACAGAGACAGACACACAGAGACAGACACACAGAGACAGACACACAGAGACAGACACACAGAGACAGACACACAGAGACAGACACACAGAGACAGACACACAGAGACAGACACACAGAGACAGACACACAGAGACAGAGTCAGACAGACAGAGACAGACACACAGAGACAGACACACAGAGACAGACACACAGAGACAGAGACAGACAGACAGACACAGACACACAGAGACAGACACACAGAGACAGACACACAGAGACAGACAGACACACAGAGACAGACAGACACACAGAGACAGACAGACACACAGAGACAGACACACAGAGACAGACACACAGAGACAGACACACAGAGACAGACACACACAACAGAGACAGACACACAGAGACAGACACACAGAGACAGACACACACAGAGACAGACACACAGAGACAGACAGACACACAGAGACAGACACACAGAGACAGACAGACACACAGAGACAGACACACAGAGACAGACACACAGAGACAGACACACAGAGACAGACACACAGAGTTAGGTCTTACCAGTTTGCCACAGAGGATGCCACAGGTCTCCACAGCTCGTCTGGTGTTGGAATCAGCTAGTCTGAGGAAGCTGCTGCACAGCTCTGAGGGCACTGCCAGCTGCCGGATGCCATCCACCATGCCATCCATGGTGTCTGGACACAGGAGGGACAATACACCATCATGAATGATCATGTTGAGGACCACTTCAGAAAGAAGTGATTTAATAAATGTGTTATCCTCTCATTCAAATGTGAATCATGTGTTTAATTTAATTTGTATGTTTTATTTGCAAAGCCAAAATAAAATGATATTCTATTCTATGTTGTGGAGCCAGATGAAACATCCGTGGAGAAAAGTAGTTCAGAGTAGAAGAAGTTGATCAGCCTTTGAATCGTTCTATGTACACTGAGTGCACAAAACATTAGGAACATCTTCCAAATATTGAGTTGCGCCCCCTTTTGCCCTCAGAACAGCCTCAATTCGTCGGGGCACGGACTCTACAAGGTGTCGAAAGCGTTCCACAGGGATGCTGGCCCATGTTGACCCCAATGCTTCCCACAGTTGTGTCAAGTTGGCTGGATGTCCTTTGGGTGGTGGACCATTCTTGATTCACATAGGAAACTGTTGAGCGTGAAAAACCCAGCAGCATTGCAGTTCTTGACTCAAACCGGTGTGCCTGGCACCTACTACCATACCCTGTTCAAAGGCACTTAAATCTTTTGTCTTGCCCATTCACCCTCTGAATGGCACACATACACAATCTATGTCTCAATTGTCTCAAGGCTTAAAAATCCTTCTTTAACCGGTCTCCTCCCCTTCATCTACACTGACTGAAGTGGATTTAACAGGTGACATCAATAAGGGATCATAGCTTTCACCTGGATTCACCTGGTCAGTCTATGTCAGGGAAAAAGCAGGTGTTCCTAATGTTTTGTCCACTCAGCGTATGTGTGTGTGTGTACTCACTGTTGTTCCCACTAGGGCTGACCAGACCCCCAGGTTTGAGCGTCCGGTCGAAGGTGGGGAGTGCTGTGGGCCCGGTGCTTCCGCCAGGGGGTCTTCTCTGGATGGTGCTGTCCCCCGGGCTCAGAGGGGGGGTGGGGGCCAGGGGCAGGGAGGGGCCCTGGATCCCTGGGAGGAGGGGTGCGTCGGGGGGAGGGGCCCCAGGAGCATGAAACTCCTGAAGGATACGCAGTCTCTCCTTCTCCAGCTCCTGACGTCTGATTATGGAGTCACGTTAGGGTCAATATTGATTCATATTTGAATATTTTTTTAAAAGGTCCAGTGCAGCCGTTTTTATCTCAATATCCAATAATTTCTGGGTAACAACTAAGTACCTTACTGTGATTGTTTTCAATTGGTCAAAAAGAAACAAAAATAACTTCTTAGCAAAGAGCCATTTCTCAAGCAAGAATTTTGCCAGGACTGTCTGGGAGTGGTCTGAGTGGGAAGGGGAAAACAGGTGATGTCACCATGCAGGCCAAAACTCCATCCCACCAAAACAAAACTGCTCTTACACTAAAAAGGCATTCTCAACATTTTCAAAATGTCACAGTATTATTCCAACATAGTGTATATAAAACAGGAAAATCACGTTTTTGACTGCACTGGAAAATGAATGCAATATTCATCCAATCCAGTTTCAAATCATGAAATAGCCGACAAGTTGAATTTATGAATTCAAATTACATTTCTTAAATGCAAATGAAAAAAAAGGATTACATTCATATGAAGTTTCTGTTGGCAGTAAGGTTACTCCATACCTGATCATCTCCTCGAAGGCGCTGAACTGCTCTTGTTCCCGTTGGCGGCGCTGTAGCTCCATAACACGGTCCCGCTCTGCTTGCACCGCCTGCTGCTTCGACTGCTGCTGCGCCAGGGTGGCCTCCTCCGCTTTCTACACACACAGTATTATAATCAACCAAATCAGGTGGGCAGAGGGCTCTACTGGGGGTATATAGTTGGGTGGGCAGGAAGGTCTACAGGGGTGGACAGAGGGCTCTACTGGGGGTATATAGTTGTAAAATGGGCAGGAAGGTCTACAGGGGTGGACAGAGGGCTCTACTGGGGGTATATCGTTGTAAAATGGGCAGGAAGGTCTACAGGGGTGGACAGAGGGCTCTACTGGGGGTATATAGTTGGGTGGGCAGGAAGGTCTACAGGGGTGGACAGAGGGCTCTACTGGGGGTATATAGTTGGGTGGGCAGGAAGGTCTACAGGGGTGGACAGAGGGCTCTACTGGGGGTATATAGTTGTAAAATGGGCAGGAAGGTCTACAGGGGTGGACAGAGGGCTCTACTGGGGGTATATAGTTGGGTGGGCAGGAAGGTCTACAGGGGTGGACAGAGGGCTCTACTGGGGGTATATAGTTGTAAAATGGGCAGGAAGGTCTACAGGGGTGGACAGAGGGCTCTACTGGGGGTATATAGTTGGGTGGGCAGGAAGGTCTACAGGGGTGGACAGAGGGCTCTACTGGGGGTACATAGTTGGGTGGGCAGGAAGGTATACAGGGGTGGACAGAGGGCTCTACTGGGGGTATATAGTTGTAGAATGGGCAGGAAGGTCTACAGGGGTGGACAGAGGGCTCTACTGGGGGTATATAGTTGGGTGGGCAGGAAGGTCTACAGGGGTGGACAGAGGGCTCTACTGGGGGTATATAGTTGGGTGGGCAGGAAGGTCTACAGGGGTGGACAGAGGGCTCTACTGGGGGTATATAGTTGGGTGGGCAGGAGCCTTCTTACCTTTTTGATGAGATACTGTGCATGCTCCTGCTCATATATCTTGAGAAGAGCCTTCTTCAGCACCTCTGCTTGAGGGAAGGCCACCTCCTTCAGTCTCTGTTGGGACAGATGAGAGCATGTCACATCAAAACAGAGAACCGTAGAGGTCCTAGAGCAGTGTGGAGGACCAGGGTTGGGATGTTGGGGGGGGGTACTAGTGGATCAGGGTTGGGTTTGTTGGGGGATACTGGAGGACCTGGAGGACCAGGGTTGGGATGTTGGGGGGGGATACTGGAGGATCAGGGTTGGGTTGTTGGGGGGGGATACTAGTGGATCAGGGTTGGGTTGTTGGGGGGGGATACTAGTGGATCAGGGTTGGGTTGTTGGGGGGGATACTGGAGGATCAGGGTTGGGTTGGGTTGTTGGGGGGGATACTAGTGGATCAGGGTTGGGTTGGGTTGTTGGGGGGGATACTAGTGGATCAGGGTTGGGTTGTTGGGGGATACTGGAGGACCTGGAGGACCAGGGTTGGGTTGTTGGGGGGGGATACTGGAGGATCAGGGTTGGGTTTGTTGGGGGGGATACTGGAGGATCAGGGTTGGGTTGTTGGGGGGGATACTAGTGGATCAGGGTTGGGTTGTTGGGGGGGATACTAGTGGATCAGGGTTGGATTGTTGGGGGGGATACTGGAGGATCAGGGTTGGGTTGTTGGGGGAGGTACTGGAGGACCTGGAGGACCAGGGTTGGGTTGTTGGGGGGTACTGGAGGACCAGGGTTGGGTTGTTGGGGGGGATACTGGAGGACCAGGGTTGGGTTGTTGGGGGGGGTAGTGGAGGACCAGGGTTGGATTGTTGGGGGGGATACTAGTGGATCAGGGTTGGGTTGTTGGAGGGTACTGGAGAACCAGGGTTGGGTTGTTTGGGGGGGGATACTGGAGGACCAGGGTTGGGTTGTTGGGGGGGATACTGGAGGACCAGGGTTGGGTTGTTGGGGGGGGATACTAGTGGATCAGGGTTGGATTGTTGGGGGGGTGGTAACTGGTGGACCAGGGTTGGGTTGTTGGGGGGTACTGGTGGACCAGGGTTGGGTTGTTGGGGGTACTGGTGGACCAGGGTTGGGTGTGTTGTTGGGGGGGGGGGGGGGGGGGGGGGGGGGGGGATACTGGAGGACCAGGGTTGGGTTGTTGGGGGGTACTGGTGGACCAGGGTTGGGTTGTTGGGGGGTACTGGTGGACCAGGGTTGGGTTGTTGGGGGGTACTGGTGGACCAGGGTTGGGTTGTTGGGGGGGGGGGGATACTGGAGGACCAGGGTTGGGTTGTTGGGGGGTACTGGTGGACCAGGGTTGGGTTGTTGGGGGGGGGGGGGTACTGGTGGACCAGGGTTGGGAAACACTGTCCTAGAACACTACGCATTAGAATCTAGAATCCTACCTTCAAGGTGTCCTTCTTCTCTGGAATGTTGGCTGTTTTGTAGTCTCTGTGTTTAGGAAGCTTCTCAATGAACAGCCTGAATAGAAACATTATGACAAACAGAAACACATCTTCGTAACGTTGCAGAAATCTGAAACGTTTGGTACAGAAATGATGCAGAAAAGCTAATCCATGCTTTTGTCACTTCTAGATTAGACTACTGCAATGCTCTTCTCTCCGGCTACCCGGATAAAGCACTGAATAAACTTCAGTTAGTGCTAAACGCAGCTGCTAGAATCTTGACTACAACCCAAAAAACTTGATCATATTACTCCAGTGCTAGCCTCTCTACACTGGCTTCCTGTTAAGGCTAGGGCTGATTTCAAGGTTTTAACTGCTAACCTACAAAGCATTATATGGACTTGCTCCTACCTATCTCTCTGATTTGGTTCTGCCGTACATACCTACCCGTACGCTACGGTCACAAGACGCAGGCCTCCTTATTGTCCCTAGAATTTCTAATATAAACAGCTGGAGGCAGGGCTTTCTCCTATAGAGCTCCATTTTCATGGAATGGTCTGCCTATCCATGTGAGAGACGCAGACTCGGTCTCGACCTTTAAGTCTTTCCTGAAGACTCATCTCTTCAGTAGGTCCTATGATTGAGTGTAGTCTGGCCCAGGGGTGCGAAGGTGACCAGTAAGGCACTGGAGTGACTGTTTCTGTCTGGCCGGCTCCCCTCTCTCCACTGGGATCCTCTGCCTCTGACCCTGTTACGGGGGCTGAGTCACTGGCTTACTAGTGCTCTTCCATGCTGTCCCTAGGAGGGGTGCGTCACGTCGTGCCAGGCTTTATTGAGCTATACTCGATTTGAGTGGGTTGAGTCACTGACGTGATCTTCCTCCTCGGCTCGTGCGGTGGAGGAGATCTTTGTGGACTATACTCAGCCTTGTCTCAGGGTAGTAGGTTGGTGGTCTATACTCAGCCTTGTCTCAGGGTATAGGGTTGGTGGGCTATACTCAGCCTTGTCTCAGGGTAGTAGGTTGGGTGGGCTATACTCAGCCTTGTCTCAGGGTAGTAGGTTGGTGGTCTATACTCAGCCTTGTCTCAGGGTAGTAGGTTGGTGGGCTATACTCAGCCTTGTCTCAGGGTAGTAGGTTGGTGGGCTATACTCAGCCTTTGTCTCAGGGTGGGGTAGGTTGGTGGTCTGTTGGATATCCCTCAAAGTGTTGTGGGGGCTGTGCTTTGGCAAAGTGGGTGGGGTTAAAACCGCCCTGGTTGGCCCTGTCCGGGGGTATCGTCGGACGGGGCCACAGTGTCCCCCGACCCCCCCCCCCCTTGTCTCAGCCTCCAGTATCTATGCTGCAATAGTCTATGTGCCGGGGGGCTAGGGTCAGTCTGTTATATCTGGTGGTTATTCTCCTGTCTCATCCGGTGTCCTGTGTGAATTTAAGTATGCTCCCTCTAATTCCCTCTCTCCTCTCTCTCTCTCCCTCCCCTCCCGGAGGAACCGAGGCCCCTAGGACCAGCATCAGGGACTACCTTGGCCTGATGACTCCTGGCTGTCCCCAGTCCACCTGGTCGTGCTGCTGCTCCAGTTTCACTCTTCTGCCTGCGGCTATGGAACCCTGACCTGTTCACCGGACGTGCTACCAATGTCCCCATGACTGCTGTTTTCAACTCTCTCTCTCTCTAACCGCAACCTGCTATTTCAACCATCTAAATGGCGGCGTACTGACCCTGTTGCACCTCTACAACCACTGTGATTATTATTTGATTGATTGATTGATTGATGATTGTCCCCAGTCCACCTGCTTGTGCTGCGGCTCCCTGACCTGTTCACCGGATGTGTCCCAGACCTACCTACCTACCTCTCCCCCCACCCCCCCAACACTACATCTTGGGTCCTCTCTCTCTCTCTATCTCTCTCTCTCTCCCCCCCAGACACCATCTTGGGTCCTCTCTCTCTCCCCCTCCCCCCTAGGACACCATCTTGGGTCCTCTCTCTCTCCCCCTCCCCCCTAGGACACCATCTGGGTCCTCTCTCTCTTCCCCCCCCCCCCCCCCCCCCCCCCCCCCCCCCCCCGGACACCATCTTGGGTCCTCTCTCTCACCCCCGGACACCATCTTGGGTCCTCTCCCCCCCCGGACACCATCTTGGGTCCTCTCTCTCCCCCCCGGACACCATCTTGGGTCCTCTGTCTTGTGACATGACCGTCCTCTTGACAACACCTTAATCTGCTGCTTCACCCTAAAACCTACAAATGTAACGGAGCTGGTGTGGGTAGCCTATATTAACTTCATATTAATTATAATATGCCATTTAGCAGACGCTTTTATCCAAAGCCACTTACAGTCATGTGTGCATACATTTTTACGTATGGGTGGTCCCGGGGATCGAACCCACTACCCTGGCGTTACAACCGCCGTGCTCTACCAGCTGAGCTACAGAGGAACACGTTTCACCAACTCAACTTACGTGATGTACTTGTTGTAGAGTACGAAGGCGTGCTCGGTGTTTCCCTCCTCAGTGTAGATGTTGGCCATGCGGATCATCTCCATGCCTGACCTGAAGTACCTCCGGGGGGGAACATCCTCGTTCACGTCCACAGAGCTGCCCTTCTTGGTCAGGGCACGGACACGGTCTTCAGGGGGCAGGCTGACATCAGTGTGGTCCGCCATCCGGACCTTTCTCCCTACACACCTGACAGGAAATCAAACCATTTTTAGTCTGCTTCAGAAATTGCACCCTATATATAGTGCACTATTTTTGACCAGCTGGCTATCGGGGCGGCTCGCTGGGGTTCCACCCAGCTCACCTACAGACCTGACAGGGAGTTCAATTAATCAATCAAATGTATTGATTAAGCTCTAGTTTCCATTAGCACTTGTCACGGAGGGCGCGTTCCACAGCTAAGGCGAGGCAACAACCAATGGTTGCGTGCCATGTCATCGACTGTGTCAGACTGGCAAAATGCTATAACGTGATGTGGTTAGCTGATACTTAAAATATCTATCCAGGCGTTGTAAGATCTGCTAGGTTTCAGCAAAGTCAAGCATAGGAACGCGCCCAAAGGAGAGACTTTGTTCTTCACTGACTAATGAAAACTTAAAATATGATACTGTAAAATCACATTGGATGCGTTTACACAGGCAGCCCAATTGTAACGTGATTAAGCGTTCATTAGTCAGTGAAGAAGTTAGTCTCTCCTGGTGACAACAAGCCATGCATGACGACACGGGACAGGCTATACGGACACTCCTGGTGCCCAAATTGATGACGTATTACATTTACATTTACATTTTAGTCATTTAGCAGACGCTCTTATCCAGAGCGACTTACAGTTAGTGAATACATTTTTTATTTTATACTGGCCCCCCGTGGGAATCAAACCCACAACCCTGGCGTTGCAAACGCCATGCTCTATCAACTGAGCTACATCCCTGCCGGCCATTCCCTCCCCTACCCTGGACGACGCTGGGCCAATTGTGCACCGCCCATGAGTCTCCCGGTCGCGGCCGGCTGCGACAGAGCCTGGATTCGAACCAGGATCTCTAGTGGCACAGTTAGCACTGCGATGCAGTGCCTTAGACCACTGCGCCACTCAGGATGTCGCGCAGCACACGTATGTCGCGCAGCTGTGAGTCACGTGGAGACGAAGGGATTGAGTTCAGTCCTGATGAGCCCTTCCCAGCTAGCTAATGTACGCTGGCTAGCTGGCAGCAACAGCAGCATAGCGCTTGGATAAAACCTGGAAAAGTTGTTTATTTCGATGTGCCTGGGAGAAGTAACTTTGTAGTATTGGTCACCAGCTGTTTCTGTGTTGCTGGCCAATTAGTCCCACTAGATTATATTCTGAACAGGATAGCAGCCTATGAGTCGTTCCAGGTTATTTCAGCCAGCCATGACACCCACCATCTCAGATTGTTCTGAAATAGTTTCTGTAGTTAGATTGGCATCCTGAAACATTATTTTTGTTGAAATGTAATTTTATATCTGAGAACATAAGCTAATTGATTGCACCCAAATTGCCAAATTGTAATTGATTGGATTCAGATTATATTCAATATAGTACCAAACATTCGATTTGGACCAAACTTGTTCCTACCAATGAGGAAGACATGAAGAATCCCCAGAAAATGTCTAAAGCCACCCCACTCCCACCCCAACAATCAGCATAGAGTATGAGTTCTCTATGAAGCTGTGGTATGAGTTCTCTATGAAGCTGTGGTATGAGTTCTCTAGGAAGCTGTGGTATGAGTTCTCTAGGAAGCTGTGGTATGAGTTCTCTATGAAGCTGTGGTATGAGTTCTCTATGAAGCTGTGGTATGAGTTCTCTATGAAGCTGTGGTATGGAGTTCTCTATGAAGCTGTGGTATGAGTTCTCTATGAAGCTCTATGAAGCTGTGTATGAGTTCTCTATGAAGCTGTGGTATGAGTTTCTCTATGAAGCTGTGGTATGAGTTCTCTATGAAGCTGTGGTATGAGTTCTCTATGAAGCTGTGGTATGAGTTCTCTATGAAGCTGTGGTATGAGTTCTCTATGAAGCTGTGGTATGAGTTCTCTATGAAGCTGTGGTATGAGTTCTCTATGAAGCTGTGGTATGAGTTCTCTATGAAGCTGTGGTATGAGTTCTCTATGAAGCTGTGGTATGAGTTCTCTATGAAGCTGTGGTATGAGTTCTCTATGAAGCTGTGGTATGAGTTCTCTATGAAGCTGTGGTATGAGTTCTCTATGAAGCTGTGGTATGAGTTCTCTATGAAGCTGTGGTATGAGTTCTCTATGAAGCTGTGGTATGAGTTCTCTATGAAGCTGTGGTATGAGTTTCTCTATGAAGCTGTGGTATGAGTTCTCTATGAAGCTGTGGTATGAGTTCTCTATGAAGCTGTGGTATGAGTTCTCTATGAAGCTGTGGTATGAGTTCTCTATGAAGCTGTGGTATGAGTTCTCTATGAAGCTGTGGTATGGAGTTCTCTATGAAGCTGTGGTATGAGTTCTCTATGAAGCTGTGGTATGAGTTCTCTATGAAGCTGTGGTATGAGTTCTCTATGAAGCTGTGGTATGAGTTCTCTATGAAGCTGTGGCTTGGAGTTTTGCTTCTATACGATCAAATGTATTCTCTGTGAATCTGGTGATGTATTTTCCCCTGTTGAGAGGAAATATTAATTGAAGTTGCTTGCATTATTTACCATAAAGTAGTGTGACAGTACCAGGTTTTGACCACTAGATGCTGCTGTTCCTGCTCTACTATTTTATCTATTTTGCTGGTCTCTTGTGTTTATCAAATAGATCACATTTCCTTTGCAACTTTGGGTAGAAAACCAATAGATTTGGCTCATGATGATAATACATTGTGTGGACATCCTCACTATTCAAGCCAGTCCTCCACGAAAGCAAATCCGTTTGTCCTTCTTTTATGCTTAATCTGTGTCCAGGAAACGGCACCTTTGTGTGTGGTTTATTCCCTTCAAAAAAGGTCTGGATTCATTACTGTTCCTGACCATTCCTGGTGAACAAGCAAACCATTAGGTTACAGCAGTTCTAAATGGTTTCAATGTTATGGTATCTAATGGTCTTCAATGGTAAAAGTCCCAAACACACACTGTATTGTGTTTTGCAGTGGTAATGTTGTTTGGTTTAATGGTAAATGTCACTAATCACACTACATATTGAGCTGATTCACCGCTTCGACCAGCCTTTATGCCTGTGCACACCGCTCAGGTAGCTTAGTGGGTAAGAGCGTTGTGCCAGTAACCGAAAGGTCGCTGGTTCTAATCCCCGAGCCGACTAGGTGAAAGATCTGTCGATGTGCCCTTGAGCAAGGCACTTAACCCTAATTGCTCCTGTAAGTCGCTCTGGATAAGAGCGTCTGCTAAATGACTAAAATGTAAAAATGCTTCAACCAGCCTTTATGCCTGTGCTCACCGCTTTCAAAAATGAATCTATTAGCACTTCACTCAGAGCACACAGCTCTCCTGCCAGTCAATGTTGTTGCCTGAGGTGGGATGTAGGATTCGTATTTCTTTGTGTGATTATCAGCTATGAAATAAAACAGCAGAAATACATTGAAAACAGCTACTGCTGCATTTTTCTACAATAAATCTCAACTCACACGTGCTCATACTTGACTTTTGACAATTTTTGTTCGCAAATGTAATGCTCACACTGTAGAGCACTGCAATTTGACCACCCGCCAACGTGGCTGGTAAAATAGACATTCTTACCCACCAATACCCAGTGCTTGATTTTGACTGAAATAGACGCAGGTAATCATATTGGGTGCCGGTCCTCTTTATATTTAGGTGCAGGAGCTCCACAATACTTTTGAGCTAATATTCTATAAGAGGAACAGGAGCTCAAGCAGTAGAACATTTGAGGTGCTGGTACTCCGCTCCAGTGAACTGCCCAAGTCAAGCACTGCCAATACCTAAATCTATCCACATTTGGCGGGTGGTTAATTTTATATAATTATATATTATTAATTAACACCCGCCAAATGTGGATAGATGTATGTATTGGCAGTGCTTGACTTGGGCAGGAGCTCAATTGACTGATTTCTTTATATGAACTGTAACGCAGTAAAATCTTTGAAATTGTTGCATTTTGTGTTTATATTTTTGTTCAGTTTATATTGAAATATATTATATTTCCGTATGGGTAGATTTCATGAAAAAGTTGTTTTAGGTGTTTGAAAAATTCTCCAACCCCTCCGGACCGACCCCAGCCATCCTTTGCTCCACAGGTTTCTGGGGTGACGCTCCTGCTGGGAAGGGCTCAGTAGGAACCAGTTCGTCACCACTCAACTCTCCCTGCGCGACATACGGACAACAGCCTCTCCCTGATGACACGCACTGTTATAAAGTGTCCACAATTAAGTATTCTTATGTATATTAAGTATTATGTGCATAAACATTAGTGCTTTTTTTCCCCCCCACAATTTTGGACTAGCTAGTCAACAGAAACGTCTGAGCATGCTGAATCTGTCGCTAGCCAAGTTTAGTTGGCCCTGATTTCTCCATATCATGTTTGGGCTGCTAACTAGCTAGTTAGCTAGCCGTGACCGATGTGAAGTTAACCTCAATGGGCGACTTGCTAGCTAGACATGACCGATTTGAAGTTACCCATACACTTGATGTATGCTAACTAGACATGTTTCACCATCATCCCATACTGAAAAACATGAATTGCAGGGTCAAGATTGATTTACCAGCTGTTCTAACAGTAGCTAGCTTAGCAAAACTAACTTACGTTCGGTTGTTTTCAAATTCTCAGCTGGTTGCGCGAGGAAATCTGTAGTTTTCACCAACAAATATGTATCAACGAGTATATCATGAAATTCAGGGCCTATTTATCGTTGTCTTTATCAAGTAAATGTTCAGTTTAGTAAATAATTAGGTGGCTAATTGCTACAACTGTCTACTTCCGCATCTCCAACAGCGTCTCGTCAGCAGCACTATAAAATGACTTCCGGGTCACGGAATTTCGGTATTGTTCAAAATAAAAGTCCTATACACAACAGTATAAAAGTGTTATTATGTGTATTTATTGATGATATACGAAAAATAATTGTCTCAACATTCATGTTTAAGTGACATTTGCATTAAGTTTGGGTTAGGTCAAATCCCAGCTAGCAAAGAGGTTTTGGCCCAATCCAACCATATTTCGGTGCGACATTATACGTCATATTGAAAGACTGCCCAGAA